ACCTTTCAAAAACCCAGGTTTGGGTTGGGACAGCAGTCTTCGCGCACTAAGCAGGCAAAGTCCTCCAAGCAGGGTTTTTGACTTCCTTTCCTCCGAGTCAAATCCAACCCGCCTAACCCCCTTTCTCCAAACTTGGCGTCACATCACTGCAGAAGAATGGATGCTGTCCATCCTAACCCAGGGCTACCGCATAGAATTTCACCAGAACGCCATTACCCCCGTCTTCGCCTCCACTCCCCCTTCTTCGGCCCTCCTCGAAGAAGTGTCTGTCCTTCTGCAGAAGGGAGCCATCGAGAATGTACCACAACATCCAAGGGGCAAGGGATTCTACTCCCACTATTTCCCCGTCCCAAAGCGGGATGGAGGCGTTCGACCAATCTTAGACCTACGGGTGCTGAACACCTTTGTCCATTCCAGTATGCTGTTGACTACTGCTCAGGTGGGATGTCACCTGACGCTGCCACCACTCTGGTTCCAGGCTCCTCTGAGAAGGCCCAGAGCACCTTCCCAGGCCTTTAGACCTCCCTTTTGACCGTATAATAGGCGTGAGGACCAGGCAGAGTGAACAATAAAAATAGTTTATAAGAGGTCAAACAAACAAGGTGCAGAAATATAACAGTAAGTGGGTGAAAAGTAAAGAAATCAAATGCCCTAACACGTCTAAATATATACTGTTCCTAGCTCACTATTCCAAGTGACACTAGACTACTCACCCTTCCCTCAGGATGAGGGTCTCTTCCCCACAGCAGCCTCAGTCCCTTCTGGCTCTGGCTCTGGCTCCTGGGGAAAAGAATAGCTTTTCCTGCTGCACCAGATCTTTTATTCCAAGCCCTCCTCTTTTCCTATTGGTCATTTTGGCTCCAAAACCTCTCAGGCTTCTGGGAGTTATATGCCCAGCCTCACCTACTGCTAGCCAGGCTTCCTGGGCCTAGTAGGCCTCTGGTGGCACAGCCCAGATCATGACAACTGCCTACTAAATTCAGTGTTTTAAAGGCAGCACAGTTTTTAGTAGAATGTTCCAGATTATGTGAATATCACACAGTAAAGAATTGTAAAATAATGTGAAGAGCTATAATAGGCACATATGACCCTCCCAAAAATCACACATAGCATCTCTCTGACTAAAAAGTTCTGCAGCCTCAGCTGACTCTGAGCACCTCTGCTGACATAATTATTAAAACTAAAGAGTTGCCCATTGATTCACATGCTAAAATATCTGTAGCTGTCATAAGAACATAAGAGACGCCAATGTTGGATCAGGCCAAAGGCCCATCCAGTCCAACACTCTGTGTCACACAGTGGCCAGAAATACCAGTGCCATCAGGAGGTCCACCAGTGGGGCCAGGACATTAGAAACCCTCCCACTGTTGACCCCCCCCCCAAGCACCAAGAAGACAGAACATCACTTGCCCCAGAGCCCCTATCTATACCTTGTGGCTAATAGCCACTGATGGACCTCTGCTCCATATGCTTATCTAATTCCCTTTTGAAGCCGTCCATGCTTGTAGCCACCACCACTTCCTGTGGCAGTGAATTCCATGTGTTAGCTCTCAGTGTGCTGGAAATCCTCTAAAACCTTAGAGCAGCTAAGCCAAAGGCAGACATGGGAGAACATGATGTCACTGTCTATAAATTCTCATGATACCAAAATAACTATACCAATAATACCCAGAAACAGAAGTCAGGACAGACATTTTAAAAAATGATATCCAAAGACGCAGATTAATCAGACAATGCTCATGAACAAGAAAAACCTGCTTGGTGTCCAAGATATTCAATATCCAGCCTGATTAAGATTTCTAGAGAACTCTAAAGCTTGCACACTGTTTTGTGTCTTTTGATTTGTCATAAGAAAAGGTACTGAGTCATGATTACAAATATTTAAATACAATTCTTAAGACTGAATATTAGCCAAGTTAAAACTGTCTCTACTTATCTTGCCACCCCATAGATATGTGAAAGTAGAATTTCAGTAAGTTAAATAACAAAATATAATTACTTGAGATGATGGTAGTCATGGAATTTTGCTGAGGGCAGTAATGGCAAATCGTAGCCACAGTGTGATACTGAACCAAACAGAAGAACAAGACTTAGCCATGCCATGACTGAAACAACATGAGATCCAAGGAGGACAGGGCCAATCAGCAGAGATCCCGTAGATGAAAACTGGAATTCAAAAACAGAACCCATAATGACATGTTTATTATGACGATGTACATAAACTTCTAAAGGAGTCTCTTCTAAGGGTCATAGGAAACAATATTCTGTAATGAGATGACTGATCTTTGAAGTGTTGAAGTACCATTGCTGGGAAACTCATTCTGCTGTGAAACATGGATAGGAACCAATGTAATGTTTCTGTGGATGCAAGAATTTCCACTCATAGTTTGTGGTTTTCCCACCTTCCCCATTCCATGTTGCAAGCTGAGGGGCTCCAGGAAAGGATTTCAGGAGTCATTTGGGGCTGCTGTTGGGAAGGCAAGGCAGGAAACCTCTGCTCTGTGAGTGGAAAATCCTTGTGCCTGCATAAACATCTAGTTAGGATCTAAGCATGTATGTTTTACATGTAGCTGCAAGATTCTTGATACAACTACAGGATGCCTGATCTCCGATTCAGTAGACTGTACGCAGTGTGTGCTGTATGGGTCAGGGGACTGTCATTAATGATCTCCCTTCACCTGGATCAAAATTGCCTCACACTGTCCTAATTTTGCTATATGTTTTGCTACTGCAGCTCATTTCCACTAACCTACTGGTCTGAACATTTCACCCTAAGCCCAACTGAATTTTTCTTCCACATGGAAGGAAGGGAAGTGGTTTTGGAAAGAGCATGGGACTGGGAGGTGAAATGCTAGGCACAAACAATCTCTGCCAGTCTCTAAGTGACTGCCCATAACTGAACAGCAGTGTTTGTTTTTGTTTTTTTAATGATGTATTCTGAAGTACAGAGAGCCGGGGGGAAACTGGATGAGCCAATATTTCAGCCTCTAAATGTTGTGCTATTGATTAGATGAAAAAATTATATTGCTGTATGAAAAGTCTTTTTGTATGGAAAATGTTTGGGGTTATGAAACTGGACACTGGGTGGGGAATAGCTTGGGTGCTGCTGGCATCCTGAGAGTTGTAGGCAGAGGAAGAGCATAGACTTTTTCAGGCTTGCATTCTGTCTGATTTTCTTCTAATCCCAGGCTGTCATGACAGGATGCTATCTGGTCTTAATCTTTATTGTTTAGTACAGGGGTGTCAAACTTACAGCCCATGGGCCAGATCCGGCCCCTGCAGGGCTCCTATCTGGCTCACAAGCAACTGGCTCCCTCCTGCTTCCTGTTCCTCATTCCTGCATCACATCTTGCTTTTGCCCAATTCAGCAGTCTCTCTAATCTACCTTTGAAATTCTTTTGTAAGAGAACTGCTACTCTTCGGTCAGCAACTGAATGTCCTGGAAGGTTAAAATTCCCCCCCACTGGTTTTTTAATGTTGTGGTTTCTAACAGTAGTATAAAGAGCAAGCGTCCAGTAGTACCTTAACAAAATTTGTGATAGGGTATGTGCTTTTGTCAGTCACTATTTATTCATTTATTTTTTGCGTTCTCTTGGACTGAATCCTCCTGTAACAAATTGAGACCTAGGTTTCCTGTCTCATTACCAGTGCTAATATCTCAACACCTACTACCCCTCTGCGTATCACACCTAATCCAATCAAGCCTGCTATTGCTATTCAGCATCTGAAATCATCTTTATGATGTTTATATCTCCAGTACCTCGCTCAAATTGAGACCTAGGTTTCCTGTCTCATTACCAGTGCTAATATCTCAACACCTACTACCCCTCTGCGTATCACACCTAATCCAATCAAGCCTGCTATTGCTATTCAGCATCTGAAATCATCTTTATAATGTTTATATCTCCAGTACCTCGTTCACATTTATGTCAGACATTTATGTCAGATCTGGCCCTTGTAACAATAGAGTTTGACATCTGGTTTAGCACCAGGTCAGTGAACAGTAAAAAAAACAAAACCTGCCTTTAGAAGTCTGATCTGTCTCAGTTTAACAACTAGTTCCTACACATTTAATAGGTCATCTATCTGGTTTTCTGTTTGAGGTGGGAAGACGGAGGAATTTAAAAAGTGACTGGGCTGTAGATAAATGGATCCATGTGAACCTGAGTTTGATCATCCATCTTCTGTGCAGTCCCATATGGGGGTTATGCATGAGCAGGCCTTCCATTGGATAGGTCTTTACAGCTAAAAGGCGTGCTGGAGCCAGTAGCTTGTTCCTGCCCATGGACCACATGCTCCTGCACAGCAGCGCCCCCTTCCCTCACTTCCTCTTTTGCCACCGAAGGAGAAGGTCATGTTTTTGGAGTCTCCAGCTGTTGTGTCCTGACCCAGCCATGTGCCGATCCAGTTTTGGCCGGTTCCACATGCGGTCATGTGAAGTACCTGAACTTTGCTCCCGAACACAATAGACATTCGGATCCCAGTTCCCTGCCAATCGGGAACCTAGGGTCCCTAGGAATAATCTAATCACTGTAGATAGACCATTCACGGGTATTGGGTGTGTGTGGGTGTGTTTTCCTTGGGGTATATAAGCCGGCCTGCGAGCCGGCTACTTTGTCTTGTTCTTTACGAATAAAAAGTCTTAGAGCTGAAATCACGAGTATGTCTAAGGACTTTTTACCAGCTACAGTCAAGTGGATTTTGTCCAGATTTGTTTAAGCTACATTGACTTCTGACTCCCTTCCATGGCTCAGAAGACCCCTTTAAAGAAGTGCTCCCGATGTGGAGCAAAGATGACCCAAACTGACCAACATTACCTTTTGTCTGCTCTGTTTGGGTGAAGGGCATAGTGTCTCTACATGTAAGGCCTGCCAATGTTTCACCTGTAAAGCTAGGGGGGATAGGGTGTTGAAACTAAGACAGCATTGTGGGAGAAAGCCCTTAAAGCCTCAGAGCCCTCGTCCAAGTCAGCTTCCGAGAAAGCTCCCAAATCCTTCGGAATAGACACATTTGGCTCCACCTCCCAAATCCAAGTCTCAGAAGATCTGATCATGGTCACACTCCCCTCAGGTTCATCATGCCATCTTAAAGCCTCAGAGCCCTCGTCCAAGTCGGCTTCAGAGAAAGCTCCCAAATCCTTCGGAATATACACATTTGGCTCCACCTCCCAAATCCAAGTCTCAGAAGATCTGATCATGGTCACACTCCCCTCAGGTTCATCATGCCATTTCTGAGCCTCCAGTGAAGAAGGCTAAAGACAAGACAAAGGAAAAGACCAGATTTAATCAGCATTACCCAGCTGCTTCATCATGATCTGAACCACCTCAACCTGATGGCTTGGAGGCTTCAGACAGAGACCTAGTATTTTCTAAGGCGGTTAATGACGTTATGTCATGCAAGCCTAACACTAGGAAATCCTATATGTATAAGTGGAAGCAATTTTCCCTCTGGTGTAGCGAGGACGTGTTGCCAGGTGGTGCCCTGTTGCAGGTCAATTTTGATTGCACCTGAAAACTAAGGCCTGGCGTTTTCTTCTTTGAAGGTTCACCTGGCTGCTATCACTTGCTATCACCGAGGAATTAAGGGAGGATCAGTTTTCTCCCATCATTTGTCTAAGAGGTTTCTTAAGGGGTTAGGTAATCTCTGCTTGCCCCGGGATCCTTTAGTGCCCCAATGGTCTCTATCTGTTGTGTTAGCACAGTTAATGCTCAAGCCTTTTGAACCCCTTGCTACCTGTTCTTCGGCAGAACTTTCTATGAAGGTATGTTTCTTAGTAGCTGTTACCTCAACCAGGAGGGTATGCTAGCAGCTCTTTAGATAAACCCCCCATTTTTGAAGTTCTTTCCTGAAGGGGTAATCTTTCACCCTAGTCTTAGGTTTCTTCCTAAGGTAGTTTCTGGGTTCCACTTATCCCAAGATATTGTTTTGCCCATATTTTTTTCCTGCACCGAGCTCTGAGAATGAGTGCTCATTACATAGAATCAGAGAGTTGGAAGGGACCTCCAGGATCATCTAGTCGTGACCCCTGCTCCATGCCCATAAGATGGCAAAAACCTCCAGGATCCCTTTAGATCCCATTCTTTAGATGTTAGGAGGGCATTATTAACCATGGAGTTTTGTAGAGATAGAGCCCTGTTTGTTTTGGTAGGAGAGCATCATCTCAGACCCTGTTCCTGATGGATTGTCAGAATCATTAGAGAGTGTTATGATAGGGCCAGATTGCCATGCCCGTTGAACATTCATGCCCATTTCACTATGGCAAAGGCTTCTTCTGTAGCTTTCCTGGATGGAGTGCCTTTGACGGAGATCTGCAGAGCTGCCATCTGGTTGTCGGCAGACACGTTTGTATGTCACTAAACTTTGGATCTGCAGGTGAGACATGAGGCTCAAGTGTACGCAGCAGTTCTTCATACGCTGTTCAAGTGAGGAGAGCATTCCCCATTGTCTGGTGAGTAGCTTGCTAGAATCCCCATGTGCTCCTGCACAGAAGATTGATGATGAAAACAAAGTTGCACTTACCTATAACTATTGTTCATTGAGTATCTTCTGTGCAGGCACACATACCCTCCCTCCTGCCCTGCTGCATGCACTGGCTTCAGGTGGCACTAGAGGTACTGAGGGTAGGAGGAGCTGCTGTGCAGGAGCACATGGTCCCTGGGCAGGAACAAGTTTCTGGCTCTGGCGTGCAGCGCCCCCTGGAGGCTTTTAGCTGTAAAGACCTATCCAATGGCAGGCCTGCTCATGTGTCGTTCCCATGTGTGCCTGCCCAGAAGATACTTGATGAACAATAGTTACAGGTAAGTGCAACTTTGTTTTTCTCTTGATGTGACTGTTGGTCCTCCAGAATGAGTGATCTGTTTAGTAGATATAATTATTTCAAGTTCTAAACACCCACTCCTACAGATATGAGGCCATGTGGCTCCCCGGTTTTCTGAGGAGCTGAGGTGATGAAATGGCAGGGACAAAGAGTACAACAGCAGAAGAAGACCTGAGCCGCAGCCGATAAAACGTAAAGCCCCATTTGCAGCCTGTTCTGTGGCAGTGATAGCAAAGGACTAATTTTTCCTCACTTTTCCATCTGCTCAGTATTGTTCAGTGTTTTTGTTCTAAGTTGGGAGAGGCAAACTAAATTAAACCCAGGCTTAGAATTCCAGATTGGGGGGGGG